CTCTCTCTCCCTCTCTCCCTCTCTCCCTCTCTCCCTCTCTCCCTCTTAAATTTTTCTCTTGTTCAGTAAACTCTCTGTAGTTGGTATGGGTGAATTTCAGTATTCACGTGTTCTTGCTTTCTTGGAAATAATCATTTACTGCAGATAAATAATGGAAATTTCTATGTCAGTGGGTGGCTATGGTCACTTTACATTATTGCTGCCCTTTTAGAACGTTTGTCTTGAAAAGAGACTAAATAGTTATTCAGTTCTCTGCCAATTGTTCTTGATGCCTTTCTCATCAAATTGTTTATTTTTATTTTGGCAGTTTTCCCAAATTGGTACCAGAACAAGATAATATACTAAAATTTATCAAAGTTTATATTTGGAGGATGGGTATATTCAGATTGAGGGACCTAAGTTTCCTCAGAAAGAACAACCTCTTATTTATCTTTTCAATAATATTGTTAGTGTGATTCTGCCAGGTCATTTTGTTGTTAATTGTGAGACCTAGATATTTGTACAAATTTGTGATTTCAATTGTTCTTTGTTCAATTACAAAAGGTGGAATGGTTGGTTTTCTTTTCAAAATCAAAAATCATTTCCTTTGTCTTAGAGAGGTTCACTTCTAAAAAAATTGAATTGCTCCATTAAATAACCATACATATTTTTTCAAGACACCCTTTTTCATTGAGGCTTATTAGTTCAATTATATCGCAGTCATCTGAGAATTTTATTTAGTGTATCGTTTCATACTTAACTTCCATAACTGTTGGCATATATTGTTTACTAAACTGGTGACAAAACACATTCATGGGGACTGCCAGAGTTATAATGCATTATACTTGTCAGATTTTGTCCTGTTCAGCTTAACATATTTTAGTCTGCCTGTCAAAGATTCCAAGACCCATGCTGCATTAAAATGATTGACTCTTAGATTTAGAAGTTTTTCAGTGACAGTATGTTGTTGAATTGTATTATATACTGAGAAAAATCAACAAAAAGTACTTGCGCGAAAGTTGCAGGTGTTTCAAGGCTGTTCAGTGTTGAGAGGCACAAAACGAGTATTGTAACTTTTTCATTCTTTTTTTTTTTTGCAAGTGGCTATTCTCCGGCGTCGCGCCGGTCAATAGATCAGAAGCTATTCTCTGGCACCACGCTGCCAGTTTATTACTAATAATTTGTCGGCGCAGATTTGAAAATACCTCCCTCATCTGTTTGTCTTGGAAAAAAATTCCCACAACTTTGCCACTTCCATTGATACATGTACAGACGATAGGTTTTCAGACACAAACTGCCTCAATTCCTCCAATTTAGAATTATGTTGGGTGCTAGAAGAAATGTGTTCACTAGGGCTGTACCCCGGTAGCAAACCCGCTCGTGCTCACAAGCCCCTAGTTCAAGTCACAAGCCTCAAATCAGTAGGTCAAATCATCAAATCAAATCACCAGCATGATAAGTTGAGTCTAGCGCAAACTGTAACCTCCTTTGTCTAGTCTAAACTTCAAGTCCACAGCAACTAGCAATCCGCGAAGCCACTCGTGTCAGGCCCCCTCATCATCCCCACCCTGCTTGCAATCTGCGAAGCCACTTACGTCAGAAAAAGAGAGAGGGGGAGAGTGAGAGATCTCGCCCACAGAGTCACTGCGCGGCGTGGCGCTGTAGTTTACTCGATTAATCGAGGCCTGCGCAAGCCTCAAGTCCCGTCCGCTGCCACAGGCCCCACAATTCACACAGTACTGATTTGCGCTAGGCTTACAGATTTGCCCCAGGACAAGCTCCAAACCTGACCTGCTGACTTGTACTGTCTCGATACACCGAACGAGCGGCACGGGCTCGATGGCGTAGGACCGTCTTGATGGCGACAAGACAGTCCGATGTGTTCTAACAGCAAGACAGTACTGTGCGCTGTGTGAACTTTGAACCGTGGAGGAAGGGAGAGGCTGGGCTTGTTTTGGTGCAAGGCGTAGAGAGCTGAAGTTATTTTTAACTTCCCGCCGTTGATCAGCTAAGCGAATGGATAAGTGAGAGGGAGCGTGGTATTGTAGTAACAGAGACCTAGGTTTCTGGTAATAATAAGAATAAGTTGACTTAGATTACCCTAGAATGGAGAACTCCAGGGGTCGTTGTGATTGGCTTTTGTATCGTATGTATGTAACCTATTTTGTAGATGTGTTACACTCACAGTGACATAATACAGAACATTTAGGAGACGGGCTAGGCCTACTTCAACCCAATGTCAGGGCCAACCTGGGCTGAGAGGGAACAACGCCCCAGCAGAAAGACGGAGGTTCTCAGTAAAAATTTCTCCCCATACGGGAATCGAACTGAGGTCTTTTGCGTGCGACGATGAAGCGCTTAGCTCGTGCACATTAAAAATAAACAGGCCTTAACATCATAAGAATAGCCTATCCAATATTAATTTTTAAGTGCATTGAATAGAGCTTTTTGTTTTTTACAACCGAACTATGAAAAAACAACAACCGATCTTGCACTTTTGGTGCAAGCCTCTCAGCGCAAATAACCAGAGAATCTATAATATGTACTGAGCCCACTGCCACGAGAGTTCGCGACGTCACGACACAGTACAGCAGGACTGTCCGCGAGTCACAACTCACCGGAAGTTCCCTCCGGTAGCAAGCGGGAGGCAAATCAAACCACAAGCCTGCTCGCAAGACTCTAGCGCAAGACTTCCGCTGCTTTACAAGCCTTCGATTAACCGAGCAGAATCCAGCCCTAGAGTTCACCTCTAGTGACACGAGTTCATAACAAAGAGTGAGCATAAGAAGGAGTCTCTCATTTTCACTGTTTACAAAAATGGAGATACGACAAGAAAGCACTGAAGTCGAGAAATATCTCTTAAATTTATCGAAAATTACAACAAGAAATAAGTTAAACAGCAAGCTATACTATATGACTAGAGAGGATTTTAGACACAAAATCAATTTTGTTCGTTTAAATAAACAAAATCATTATTTTAAAATAAGCAAATGGACGACGGAAATAAATGAATAAAGTTATGTTAGACAATTATCATAGATAAAATATAATGAAAGATAGACTTACTAGGCCTAGTTATGATGCCGGAGAATAGCTTCCGATCAATTGACCGGCGCGATGCCGGAGAATAGCCACTTGCTTTTTTTTGGTATTCAAACTGGAATGGATCTTTCTTTCCATTAACATATAGAATATTTGAGGCAACCAATTTTTTCAAACCCCTTAAAAGTAATAAATGTTAGAGCAACTAGAACAGAAAACTTGTTTCAAAATGAGAAAAAATAACCCCTCTTTGTGAATCTTCTGATTTTGTAACTTTTATGAGAACTTGTTTATCTACATATTTTGAATTCTTTTTTGTTTCAAAGTTTCAACTCTTTTCCTACCAGACTATTCTTCTCATTGGGAGGAAGCCATTTCGGTTGTCATGTTTTCCCTTTTTTTTTTGCGATCAGAAAATTTTAAATATATACCTAAAAGTGCTGTACATCAAAACGCAGGGAATTTTTTTATCCAACAGTATAAGGGAAAAAAGAAATGAGATTATAAAAATATTGGTTTGTGGAGGGAAAGATTAAGAATCCGTTGAGTCGCAATATGTGGCTCATGGCAATAAACGTGGACTGCTTGAGATTCATTTTGTGGCTTGTGGCAGGGAAGGAATTAGGTGAGATTTGTGCTATGAAAATGTTTCATTACTGTTGTAATTCAGTATTCTTTTTTCTTGGAGCTGGTTTTTGGTATTGACAGATACTGTTCACTGTGTAGGTATATATTTAAGAAACATTTCATTGGTCTTGTTTGTATGTGTTTATGGGTGCTCTTGTCTGGTTTGCTCTGTCATTCCTACCAAACATCTGTTGTCCTTATCTCTGTTCTTTCTTTCCTTTTCATGTTACTCTTTAATAACACAATTAATCTCTAACCTCCTGCATTCTTAAGATGTATTTGTGTTCCAAATACTATAAAACTTTTTTTTTTTTAATGTTCTAATGTACTTGAGTTTTCTTTGTGAAAAAAACCAAAAACATTTTTATGCTTTGGTTCCAGTTAAGTCTCTGCAGTGGTTTTGAATGATGATGCTCTGTGGGAAATAATATTTTAATTATGCCTGTCTAGTATGAAAAGCTGTTAATGCATGCCTGCTTATGCTATTGTAGAAATAATGTCGCTATATCGTGTTGGACAATATTCACGAAGAACAGTGTTTCGTTGATCTAAGAAAAGTGAAAGATAAATGCATGTCACTCACTCTGCACAGGCTTTCTAATGGTTTTGTTTTTTTTTACTTTCAGATTCTGAACAAGCTTTGGAAATGGGCTATGAACAGTTTATGGGACAGATGTTTGGACATAACATTTTGTTCTCAACAAGTAAGGGAAAAAGTTATAGCAATAAACTCCTAGCGTATAATAATAAATAATAATAATAATAATGATGATATATTATTTAACCCTATCCGTACGCCGTGGGGTTATTTTGTACCCCCGGGGTTGTATTCTTCTCATTTTAAAACACTTTCAGTACGAAGGTCTCTTTGAAACTTTCAGTATTTCTAAAAAAATCATTTTGACAAAGTGCTATTCAAAGCGTACGGATTGGATTAACGAGTAAATTTCCTCTTTGGAAAGTGGTGGCACAGTGTTCCCCACGTCGCATGGATACCATAGTAAAACACGACGTACGGATAGGGTTAAAGACAGACTTCAGAATCTGTAGAGTGATTTTTAGAACCTTGCATGAAGTAAATTCATAATATATTTTATAATGAGTAATGATTAAACTATCTGTTTGAATTCCTGTGATTGTCTAAGATGTGTGTACACATTGTCCGTGATCAGTTTGTGCTTCGATGTGTGCTGGATGTCTGGCTGGTTTGCAGGTGTCCTTGTATGGTTTACAGTTTCTGCCTTTTAAAATGTTTTACTTTTGTTGTTATCGTTATCTGCATCCACGCTCTAAAATGAAAAATTTACAAATCTAAAATCCTTTAAAATCTTGATTTTAATGTGTTTAAAGATTCTGTCTCCAGACATTTTAAACCTTGATGATTTTTCGTCAAGAAATTCTTGTACACCTTAAGACGTATGTGTTGACATCAAAGGTTGTTACAAACCATTAGTTCTTCACAATCCTACACTTACTTTGTTCCTCGTTCAGTTTCGGTTTTTTTGGTCTTTATTTCCTCCTGATTTTGACCTTTCTTGTAAAATCAGAATCAGTTAATAGTGTTTTGTCGTTAGTCATCCCTCAGTGGTCTGGTCAATCTTTCCTGAGAAGCACTATCTCAGTTTTATCTTTCTCAACGATCAGTATTACTGTGACCTTTAGCACACATGAACTATGGCAGTCTCCTCTCAAGTCACCAATGTGGGTTGTTTCAGATGAGATGGCTGTTGGTTTTCGGCATTCACTGAGCCAGCTGATGACCTCTCAGTGTTTAAGTGAATATGAGGAGACACTTCAAAGGTATGTGTTGTGTGACCGAGTAAATTTACATGTAATAAGTACATGCTAAAATGGTGTGTGAGGCATCATGGTGGAATCAGGCACTTGTCAAATCATTTAAACGGAAAAAATTGGCATTTTTTCACTGGTTTTGCCATTTTTATCGAATTTTTTTTGTTTTTTGCTCAACACCCTTTTTGTCCATTAAAGAACACATAATTTCCGTGTGGATATTACTTTAAAATTATAATTAAGGCCACACTCTATTTCTTAGCACCAAAATCTACAATTAAGTGATTTTTACCTGTTTTTTTTTTTTTTTCCTAATTTTCATGAAGTATTCCATTCAATGATTAAAAATATTCAGTTTTGGGAATCATTATCAGTTACATAATCACAGAAATGGCAAATTAGAGTGAATTTGGGCTATCTAAAGGACCATTTTCAAAAGCTAAAAACTCAGAAAGATCCGTGGTATCTATGAACTAATTACATATTTGTAATCTGCACCCAAATCTTAAGAAAATGACACTAGCTTTTCTTGAAATTGTAAATATTAATAATTTTATTATTTTAAGAAGACTTGCATATTAGCGAATGACAAAAAATAGTCAGCATAACAAAGTAAAAAAATCATTTAAAATATTTATTTTTTTTAAATTAGAAAAGCTAGCGTCATTTTATTTTGAATTGTATGGTGCACTTACCCTCCACGTTTCATATTTTTATCTTGAATGTTTTTTTTAGTTTTTAGCTTTTAAAGCCAAGAAATGAACATCTTGAGGAAAAGAGTTAAAACATCTCAAAATTGCTTTAAAGCAATGTATTGACTCACATTGTTACAAACTTTATGGAGCTGTCTATATGAAGTAGAGCTTTGGGAGTACTGCCATTCGATTTTGCACATAATTTTCAAGGGAAGTTTCTTAAAACCCAAAAGACATTGGACCCAAACTGGACTCCAAAAACTCGTTTGTGGCCTTAAAGGCACAAAAATCTTAATTTTCAGTTTTCAAGGGCTCTCAAGCTATGGAAGTCACCAAACCTTGGCGGCTATTTTACCTCTGAAACCAGGTGACCCCCACCTTCTACAGTCACATATCTTGACTTCTATTCAAAATATTGGGTATCTTTTTCATCGATAGCAAAGCAAAGGAACAAGCTTTAAAATGATACAAATAACTCCACATGCCCAAAAGTTGACGAGCACCTGGTTCCACTGCGCTGTGACGCGTATAACACAACCAGAATGAGTACCAGCATGTGAGATGTCATCATTTACTGTGATACTAGTTATAATGGAGAAACTCATTGCTTTAGTTTTAATGCTTTTAGATATGGCATAATATAGGCCTATTATAGAACACGTTTTCAATTATATTCATTACTTTTATTTTTAACTACCGTTGGTTATTAAAATGATATTCCATACACTAGTTTTAATACAGAGTGTTGGGTACAGTTCAGAATAATACAGCAGGTGGTTAGAGGGTGCCACTGGTGGGTCGTACTCCTTTTCCATCCGCGTGTGGTTTCTGTTAATCTTCCTTACATTTACCCTAGTGCTGAATGACTGTTATGGTGTCAATGTGCACCTCTTTACTAAAAAAATTGAGCAAATCAGAATTACTTTTCTTAGATCATATATATAACAACACTAAACAAATATGCACATACAGAGAAAGTTGTCAATTATCTTTATTTTTATTCTTTTACAGGATCTTAGTAAAAAAGATGTCCACTCTCAATGCTGGGTAAGGATTTGATTTTTTTAAAATTATATGTTTAGCCAATAGTATAATTTTGATCTGGATAAGGATTTAAAAAGTTACCTCACCCTTGAAGTGAATATTGATTATTCTGATTTTCAGGATAAAGTGGTGGCAACCTTCTATGTTTCTGTTTGATTCCTACTATTTTGAACATTTCTGTTGTTGTTGTTTTTTTAGCTATTAAAATTTCTGCAAAAAAAGTGTTTTATGGAAAGACTTGCATATCCTTAGCTGAGTTTCAGCATCAACTACCAGTGTTGGGTTTTTTTTCGAGACCTCGAGTCAAACAATTCCAACATCAATACTCTATACTTATTCTGATGAATGAATTGTTTAAGATGCAAGAGGCTGGATGACCTCAACATAAAAAAATACCTTTGAACCTGCCTTATCGGAATCCTGTCCTTGAGGGAAACCTGCCCACGACGGAAACCTGTCTTAAGAAAAAAATGGAGGGATTTACTGATGACCAATCTTTCTTGTCGAAGTCATGTTAGTTTTCTATCAAACTGGTAGCCCCTACAATCATTTGAAATAAAGGCAGAGTAAAAAATGCTAGTTGTGCAGTTATGTATGTAGCAGCCTCATAACCCTCTGGACCCTGGCCCCCTCTGCAACCCAGCCCCTGCACCTGGCACCTTGTGGCTGCCTAACCCCTGCAAGGAGCGCTATTGCCCTCAGGGTGCTACTCGGTATATTAGCGCTGAACATAATCGCCCTCATGGTGCTACTCTGTATATTATCGTGGTACATAATCACCCTCATGGAGCTACTCGGTATATTAGCGTGGAACATAATCACCCTCATGGTGCTACTCGGTATATTAGCGTGGAACATAATCACCCTCATGGTGCTACTCGGTATATTAGCATGGAACATAATCACCCTCATGGTGCTACTCGGTATACTAGCGTTGAACATAATCACCCTCATGGTGCTACTCGGTATACTAGCGTGGAACATAATCACCCTCATGGTGCTACTCGGTATACTAGCGTTGAATATAATCACCCTCATGGTGCAACTCGGTATATTAGCGTTGAACATAATCACCCTCATGGTGCTACTCGGTATACTAGCGTTGAACATAATCACCCTCAGGGTGCCACTCGGGTTCACAGGGTTAAGGAGGTGTTTTGTTTATCAATGTGTGTAAAGAGACTTTTCAGATATCCTTGGCTTATGATATGAATGTCATGTATAAAATCTACATTCGCATTTGCTGTTATTTTTTAAACTTTAATTCATTGTGTTCCATTTTTATTAAGGAATGTCTCTTTGATGTCTTTTCCTTTTTTACTGTCTTTTGTTACAGGAATGAAAATATGTTTGGTTTTCCATGAGTGTCATGAGTGTTTACAGATATACTTTTGATAGTCGACATGACTATTTTTTTGCATCTTTCTTGCAGGAGTCCATTTTGCCTTTACCAGTTTTTCAAGGATCTTTTTACTGAAGTGTGTCTCACCCTTTTTCTTGGTGTGGAGTTCTCAGAGAACGAAGAAACTGCTGAACTGTGGAAGGGATTAACTTCAGATCACTGGCATGGTATGGGTCTCCCCCATTCGCTTTTACTTATGATTTGAACTCCTCTGGAACTTTCAATTCTTGTGTTGATTTTTAAAAGCCTGTACAGGCTTTATGTATCCCTGTTGAGCTATAGTTTTCCAAACTGTAGTCACAGGTGACATTTAAAAAGCCCCCCAGAAAAATACAAGATTTTAAAAAGAGCATGAATTGTGAACAATGATCGACAATGTCTGTATCAGATGTGACTCCTGAAGAAGGTCTCAGCACTGTTACAATTTTAAAAGAAATATTTTGTCCATTAAATAGACACTTCAAATAGAATCCAATGATATAAAACACTACTTTAATCTAACTGGATTACTTTTAAGAAAAGCTGTCATGGTGTTATGAATTTTGCTGAGATGAAAAAGTCAGTGTTTGGATTCTAGAATGAGTGGAGATTTTTTTCTCATACGGTACTTTTCAGAACCTATTTCTTCTTGGGCTGGTGTCCTTGCCAGGAAATAACTGCTTCGGTTGTGAAATGATTTACATTTTGTCTCAAGTTATTAAGCATTTCTTGATGTCCTATCCTTTATATCTTTCTGTTCATTCTGGGGTACAGTTTCATTTATTATGATTTAATAACATGCCTTTGAGAATGCTGATAGGTCACATCATTGTGTTCTGTTATTTATAACCAGGTATTGTGTCGGTACCTGTGGATTTGAAGCTTCCAGGGACTGGGACACAGTCCACATTCAGCAAAGCATTGAAGGCAAAGGTAAAAAATTTACTGTAGACTTCTTTAAAAAATTTTTTTTTATGGTATTATCTTATATTATATATGATCTTTAAGATGTGTTATTTTTCTGTCATTTGGTCACCAGCATCTGTTGTGTAGTAGTTATGTGCTTCACTTTTTTTAAACAGGAGACGAGAGTTGTATTCCCAGTCGGGAAACGTTTTTATTGGGTGTCTCGGTCTTTCTGCAAAGATGTCATATTCTTCTCAGCCTGGGTTGGCTCTGACAAGCAGGGTTGGAAGCCTACCTCCTAAATGATCTAAATTGTGTGGAGGGGCGCGTTAAAACACCTATATTTTAATATAATGTTTGGTCAGATCATGTAGGAAAAAAGATGAATCACCAAACTGTTACTTTGAGAGCCTCAAATATGACAAAAAATATGCACTGAATGTTTCAGTCATTATTCTTCTTCAGCAAGCATCCTGAACAATTGTCTCTGACTTGTGTTCCTTTTCCCCTCCCTCCAACCTTCCTATTTTTTTTTTCTTGTGGTCCATTTGCTTTCTATTTCCCTGATCATGTGATATTTCTCTTTCATAAATTGTTTCTTGTTTTAAGGCAAGCACTAATACATTAAAAAAATATTTTTGGCTTGAAAAATCGATTTCCAGATTTTGGGCTAGAAATAATGTTAGACCATTACATTACATGTTCCTTATGTTTCCAAAGCTTAGAAAACACCATAAATATACACATTTTCTGTTTTTGTAAGCTAGGGGTGATCTTTTAGGATCACAAAAAAGTCCTACGTTGTTAGTTTTGAGTTACAAAATACTGTAGCAACCATATGTTACTTTGAATAGAAGGTTGGCATGCTGTATGCAACTGAAAACTGCATTTAGTGCTCAATCTGGTAAAATAACTCCCAGCAACGTTCACATTCATTCAAAAACACTGTAAACCATTGAAATAGGTCACCAGACCCTGCCAAATAGATTCCTGAGTTTCCGTAAAAGCAGATGACGCAGTCATTTCATTGTGTGCCTCCCTTTGGCATTTCAGCATCGGTCACTTAAGCTTTTCTCTTGCCAAGTTGTTTTCCAAGATATTTATATGATATTTTGCAAGGACGTGTAGAAATGGTGTCTAAATGACATTTATAAGAGCATATTGTCTTTGATTTTGACAAAATGCTTGGCTGTGTTAGTAGGGTGTTTTTAAAATAATGTGTATGTTTTTTTTTCAAAATACACATAAAATAGTCCAAAATATCATGTTATATTTTCGTTATGACACCTTCCAGTTTGTTATGTATGTACACTGCAAATCTGCAGGCTATATCTTGAATAGTTTTTTTAATTTTTAAGAAATGAGAAAATGTGAAATAATAAAAAAATTCAAGATGCCCACATTTTTTGCAAAAATTTTAAAAATTCTTCAAACATGTTATTTTTATGACCCTTCAATGTCACTGTAGTCATGTTTCAAAGTACTGTTGTCATGAGATGCAAAAATACTAAAATTTATTAATGCTTGCCTTAAATTAATTTTTTTTTCTTTGCATCCATCTGAACAAGGGCCTCACAATTTTGCTGTTCAATGGAGTATTTTTATATATCCTGTGAAACAACTCACTTGATTTATTTGTGAATTTCTTTCAATGTACAAATTTCTTACCTGTTTTATGTCTTAAAGAGGATATGATGGTGGCAACTACCACCTAAAATTCCTGATATATGACAAAATAAGAGTTATTGGGGGGGGGGGGGGGGGGGGTTCTTATGTGATGAAATAGTTATGAGAGAGGCTGAAAAAGACAAAAAAAACCTCAAAACCAATAATTTTCAGCTCCCTTTCAGCTGCCGCCCCCTCCTCTTAAACAAATGGAAACAGATTCTTTGTTCATTCGTTCTTGCACATATACTAGAATTATTCCCAAGATCTTATTGATGGGTATGGTTTCTCAGAAAATATAGTTGGTAGTCGTGTTCCTGACCAATATGCCCACCACATGATGGTTGGTCACCAAGGTGTAACTCAATGGTCTGTCCGGACTAGTAGGATGACAAGTGATGAAAGCCAGGTACATTGCTGGTACTCATATTATTAAACTATCACGCCTTGAAAATAGTCTTCATCTCTTGGGGACTCTCACATGTTTTGATCGCCCACTTGTTACTACTGTTCGTCACTACTTGATTAAAGATTCCAAAGAATTTATGAAATATGAACCTTTTGCGTTCTGTTTTTTCCCTCATGTGTTAAAACTTGTATAATTAGTCAAATGTTTACATATTTGGAGCAGGTGGTTGGAGTGCACTGCTGGTAGATCTTACTTCGTTTCTTTCCAGCTTTTATTTTTGTGTTTTCCTGTCTTTTTCTTCTCCTGCACTAAACAACCACCATCATGTTTATGCTTTATACTCGCTGCAAAATAATCATTCTTCTTAACACATTCATGGGTGGTTGGAGGGGGCTGCTGGTAGGTCCTACTTTTTTTGTCCTCATTCATTTTGTTTATGACAATGGCAATATCTAGCTTTTTCCCAATACTTATTGACTGCTATTGTGTTGATGTACTTCTCTTTACTCAGAGCTAAGTAATCATTCTCCTGAACTAGCTTGTGGATAGAGGTCCTTCTTCCTTAATTTCTGGCTGTTTCTGTCTGTCTTGCTTTTTCCTAGCACAAAATGACCTTTATTGTGTTAGAAGGGCTTTTCTTTTCACAAGCATCATTATTTGGTCTTCATTTGTTATTGCAGGCCAAGCTGTTGGAGTTGATCAGCTCTCAGAAAAACAAAGTCACCTGTGGATTCCCTCATCACATGAAAAGTATTGAAGAGTTTGATGAGACAGCCGTGAACCAACACTTGCTGCTCTTCACCTCTGCATTGGTACCAAAAGTCTTATCCTCCATTTGTACATCTGTCTGCATCGAGATGGGGAATCCTGACAGAGTAAGTAAGGGAGTTTAGAGGGTGCCACTGTTAGGTCCTATTGCTTTTCTTTCCCCTCTGCTGTTTCTGTCTGTCTTTCTTGCTTTTACCCAGCACTAAATGACTGTAATTACACAAAGGTGCTCCTTTTTACTCGAACACAATTCTCTTTACATTCAAATAAAGAATAAGCAAGTGCAGCAGAACCTTTTGGGATCAGTTAAACTTATAAACGTATTAAGACACCAGGTGTGTGTGTGTGTGTGTGCGAATAGGTTACTCTCCCACAACCACTGACACTGACAGTGTAGGCTGCCACTCATTTAAGCCTTAGCCTCTGTGATATTTTGTCGTGGTGCTTCCTGTGCCTTCCGTCTACGTCCCTTTATCCTGCTGATGTATGGAACTAGAGTCCATCCAAGCAAAATCTGAATCAATGAAAACTCAAAAGTTTAATGACTGCATTCAAAATTATCTATTTGCTTCTCATGAGGCTTTTAACTCATTTAAAGTACACATCAAGCTTATTGAAGTTTCAATTTAGAGATGAGCTCTGGTGTAATAAATGAAGATTCAAGTGATGACACTTAGATTTTGAGTTTGCATGCATGGTCTTGTAGTATAGCAGCGAGAAATAGTTCCTTCAATTCACTTTGATATTGTGTGCTTGCTATGTTCCAGCTAGCTAGGGATGGAAATAGAATTTTAGTTTTTATAACTGTTTATGTTCCTTCATCAGTTTCAGTGGCAGGAAAAAGCGAAAAAAGAACCAAAATTCCTTGACAATCTTATTCTGGAAACGCAACGATTACATCCACCCTTACTTGGGGGGAGACGAATGGTGAAAAAGGTAATGCATTAAAGGTAACTTTCTCAAGTATCTGAGTCTCTTCCTTGTTGATTTTTCTCTTTCTATTTTGTTCTCAGTTTTGCCTCCATACACACCTCCTTTGCTGTGTTTACTATACCCCGTATGATTGCTAGGGTTTCATTATTCTTCTCATTTCTATACAAATCTGCTATGTTTTCCCTGTCCTTTATGGTTACTAGGGTTTTGTTAAGGATGTAGCTCATTTTCTGCGTGAAGGCATTTGAAAAAAGAGAGCTTGATTTGTATGTGTGCTTAGGGTGGAAGGGAATTGGAGATGTTTTAATGTGGTCTTCTCCTTCTTCTTTTCAGTGTTATTAGTGCACTGCTCTGTGTCCTTGCAAAATTGTATCGTTACTATCATGCATATCTTCTGTAAACTGAAGCTCATATTCAAAAGAGACAGAACAAAGGAAAAACGTTATTTAAATTTATGCTTACTATGATTTGAATTCTGAACAGGACAGTGTATGTGTACTCTTTTGTCATTTTATAAATCCAAGTTCATAAACTGGCATAACTTAGATTGAATGTTATTACCCATGTGCCGTTAATGAACAAAGGAAATCATTGCATTTTTTCATTTACTTTTTACTTCATTGTCTTTTATGAATGTTATGTCCTCATGATGGATGTTTAGAGGGTGTCAGTGGCGAGATCTACTTCTGTTCTTGCCCTCTAATGTTTTTGTCCATTTGTCTTTCTTATTCTCAGCCTTAGATGGCTGTGCCACTGGTCCTACGTTTTTACTTTCTCTCTGTTGTTTCTGTCTTACTTATTCTCAGCACTCAATGACCATTATTGTATGGATGTACTTCTCTTTACTCCAACTCAAACTGAATGCAGTTGTTGTGTCTGTGTACTTCTCTTTACATACAAAAATGTACTGGTCCTCATGTGAAGATGTAAGTTTTCTGTGATTTTTACTAAGCTGATGTTGTTGATAGTAATTTGAATGTATTAACTTTAACCCTTTGAGCCCTGACTTCCTGAGGCTACCATGCCCCTCTGCCTGAGCTCCTGAGTGATATATTACTAACATTCATATGATCGTCAGAATCACATTCCATATCCCACTCAGGGTAGCCCTTGTCAATACGAGCATCTCATTCAGAAAGATCTTTTAAAAAATCAATACCTCCCTGTGTAGTTAACGCTGTTTTCCATGCGTGCTTTGTCTCAGGCAGGCCGGGTTGGGGATGGGGTCTCGCCTACCGCTGTATCGGTGGCTAGGCATACGGGCAGTTTTATGCGTCACCGGTGTACCGGTGGCAAGGGTTCACAGGGTTACAATACAGGATATGAAAATTTGAAAATATGAACATTTTCACATTTAGTCAGGATTCTTGATGAGGAGATCTTCTAGAATTTCAGGAAGAGCAAGGAATGTTGTGTCATTCTTCTTAGGTTCAAACTTTCACTATCAGTTTCTAATTTTTTTTTAAAAACAAGTTTCCAGGGCAATCTCATAACCAGTCAGGCTACTACAGTTAATGATACAAAAGTGTTCAGCTAAATTTTGAAGTAACGGAGATAAGAAAATGAATGTGTTGAATGAATTCTTGTACTATCCATATGACATTATCAAGCATCTTGTGTTTTGAAAGTGACTGTGAATATAATGAGTGGTTGGATGGCCCTACTGCTAGTTCCCTCTTCTATCCATTCCTTCTGTTGTTTCTGTCCGTCTGTCCTTATTCCCTGAACTAAAGTATTGTTATTGTGCCAGTGTGCTTCACTTTTTTAAAGCAAATATGATTGTAAAATACGGTACCTAAAAAATTTTGAGTTTCTTATTTTTTGTTGGAATGGTTTTGCTCCCCCAGAAGTGTGTGATAGCTGGATATGCTGTTCCTAAAGGCCATGCAGTTGTGTACATGACTCAACCGGCTCACAGAGACTCGGCTGTGTTTGACCATCCAGATCAATTTTTGCCAGAACGCTGGGATGAAAGGTGCAACATTTTATTTATTTATTTATTTATTTATTTATTTATTTATTTATTTATTTATTTATTTATTTATTCTTTTTTTAAAGGGAAAGGTCTCTTCCTATAAATGGATGCCAGTCCTACCAATTTAACACTCTGTAATAGTGTGGTGTAGTGAAAATAAAATATAAGCAACAGAAATGTGGTTTCTTAGGAGACTGCTAAGAGTATCATGGAAGAAAAAGAAATCAAATAAGGTAGTACTTGAAGAAGCCCACGTGGGACGCTCACTGTTAAAAACAATCAGGAAACGACTTATGTAGTTTTTGGGACACCTGAATAGACATACGGGTCTTGAACATCTAGCTCTCACTGGCAAAATTCAAGGCTAACGAGGCAGGGATAGGCCCAGAGCAACCTACTTAGGGAACCTAAACCAATGGGTAACAGGGAAAGATCAGGGAAACGTAGCTTTTTTAAGAGCTTCCAAGGGAAGGAATGAATGGAGAACCGTTATCGCCGATGGCTGTCGCAGATCTGGCACTAGATGATGATGAATAGTGTAGTGTGAGTACTTTTGATAGTACTTTGAAGTCCAATGGACAGCAGTTGCTGATTACTTTTGGCAAAAAGACCAGGGGTTGAATTCTCTTGACCTTGTCCACATCACAGTCAATATGGTGCTCTAACTTGCTATCATGGAAATTGTTCATTGCTCAAATCTCCTTTAATCTAGCGAAACAATTTTTGACTTAGTAACATGCGTCATAATTTAAGTCATTGCTGGTGGGTTACGTCTATGTCTTTTAGTGTATTTAAATAAAAGTGTGTGTGTGTGTGTGGGAGGGG